CATCTTGAAAGTTCCTTCTCGTATCTTCAATTCTATCAAAAATTCTCGCAGAAATATATTTCTCGTATTCTATTATTCACAACTTTTTACGCAAGATGGAGGCAAAAGAAAAAGATGAAAAAGAAAGAAAAAAGGAAAAACGAGGAAACCGATAATGGGAATGAATTGAGCCAGTCGTAATATCCTGACCATCTTTTTTCTCGGACGATAAATTCCCCGTTGCTTGGTGAACAGCTCTGGTCCTGCCCTTCGACGATTCCGTGCCATTTTCCACCGTGGGAATTTATCGTTGAAATAATGCGGAAATAGTGAGATATTCCAAGGCGCAGCGTATGAAAGACGGCGACTATGGAGCGTTGTTCGGTTGGGAATCGAAACCGAATCGTCTGGAGTGCCGCGAATCACGAAACGGGACGACGACGACGAGGAGGAGGAGGAGGAGGAGGAGAAGGAGGGGACGAAGGTTGCTTTGAAAAGCGGGGAAAGTGATTCGAGTAAATATCACGGGAGGTATTACTCGTGGAAACCGGGGAGCGTACGAGCGTCTGTACTCGCTGACGAAATTCTCCCGTGTCGTGCCGTGTCGTCGTGTGAAAAGCTTAAATTCGATTTCGTGACTTTTCTCACCGGCGATTTGTCGCCGCTTCCGGCAACCGACGCGCCATCAAATAAGTTGAATAAAATATTTACCGTGACGGTGGCGAGCGAGCGCGCGCGTAATCGTTCCCAGATGCTGATGGAAATATTCGCGTGTGTGCTATTACTCGTAAGTAGACTGCGGATGTTTATCACTCGCGTTAAATATGCAAGAACCGTGTGACATTCATGCGCTGGGAATATGCAAATATTCCGCGAAAAATGCGTGCCAAAAATATTCACCGATGCACGCGTGCCGGCTCGGCAAGTCATATTCATTGGAAAGCACAGACAAATTTTCTGTCATTTAGGATTTTGCTTTAGGATCCGTCCGTTCGTATTTATTGGGACACTCTAACGAATTTTATAGGATATTAAATTTATATTGAGGCCATTGGAACATAATTTTGTAATACACTCAAGAATTCTAAAAATCGTGTTTCTCTCCTCTTTTGTTTGGAATTTCGACGGTGTTTCACTTTCTAATTATCGTGAAACTTATTATTGTGATAAAAGAAAAATCCTATATTCTTCTGAAAAGCATTCTGAGTTAAATAACTATTTAAAAAAGGATTGACTATTTTCAATGAAAGAAAATAAAAAATGAAAAGATTGATGAAATATTAGAAATAATAGATCATCAAATTACTATTATAATCGCCGTGTCTCTTATTCAATGTCTTTCTCTCCGAAATGATTTTTCAAAATTATTTAGTAATCAATTGAACCTGTCGTATATCGCCTATTCGTTTGCTGTTGGCCGATTTAGCGGTCGAGCTAGACCTTTCGTCGATAATTTTCAACTAACTTTTTAAGGTTTTTAATAAATACCGTCAGAAGTGCCCGAGATTCCTCGGAGGTTTGATTACACTCTGTCCGCAGTACGTCAACGTGGATACAATAAAGGTTGCAGGTACTTTAGGTTTGAACCGCAGTTAGAACTTCGATTCTAAATCGGGCGTTCCGAGAGCGAAGTTACTTTGGCAGTGAATGTAATCTAGAGGCAGGCAGTTGGGACATTACGCGGAAATTCCAGCCGCGTGTCAGAGATTGGTCAGCGAAGTTGACCCAAGTTCCTCCGCCGAGCAGAACGGTCACGTCGTTGTGCGCTGGACAACGAACGCAATTAGAGAGAACGAGAGAAAAGAGACCTTGAATACTGTTTCGCGACACGAATTTCGACCTGTTATCAAGTATGATTATGATTCGACTGTTTAAATAGTGGACGTCCACCATATTCGTGTTTTCATAGCGAACTGTATCTCTTCGACATGGGGATTCCTCAGTAGTATTGTACTATTATTTCACCGACAATACCAAGTGAGCCGGGATAAACCTTCGTCTAACACGTGTTTTCACAAGACGCGTGTTACGCGTGTATACAACATAATATGTATTCTATTATATAAAAGAAATAACTTTCGAAACTCCAATTAAAAAATTATTAACTCAATTATGATGGATATAGATGCGAAAATCCACGAATAATGCAAAATCTCTATATTACAATTTCAATTTTTAAATAGAATTTACTCAAATTTCGATATTGCAAGAAGTCATGACGATGATGTTATGAATATCGTTACTTTTTCTTTTTTTTTTCTTTTGGAACTTTAACGTGCACTAAAAATTTTAAGCCAAATGCATATATATATATATATACATACGTATCGACTTTAGACGACGATTGTGAAGCAGTTTGCTAAATTGGATTGGTCATTCTCGCGAAGAGGAGCTGCAGCCTAGTTAAAAGAGAACATCTCGTCGAAAGGATACAAGCCGAAGGCGTGACCTTTATTTATATCCTGGTGATCGCGCTGATGAGATTGGTCAATAAAAGCGAGACAGACGCGAGCGGCTATCCGAGGATTGTGTCTCTTCAGCTCCATCGGAACCGGATAAACCGTGGAACGTGCTTGGTGATACGAGCCCGAAATAATAGAGGCAAGACAATTTGGCGAGTTGCACGTCTCGCATACCTTACTTCCTGACAAAACTTTACCCGCCGCGAAATTTCACCCGTTGTTCAATTGCAGAATACTTCTCCCCCCCCCCCCTCGACTGCGATCCGATTGAGAAAAAGAATTCCTCCGCCAAGATACTTTATAATATTGGAATAATTGAATGAAATTCCAACGTTTGAATTGTCTTCGCTTGGAATTTTATTTTGTTTCTTTCATATTACAGGTTAATATTTCAATATTTCATCTCGGTCGTTGTTGCAAAATTCTACGAGACTTTACAATTTTATGGAATTTAAACGAACCGAGAGTATTACCATAAATCACTGTTCAATTAGTCCATGAAATTTCGATTTCACAAATGAATTTTGTATCCTTATTTCTCTACTTACTAGTTTGTTTGTTTTTTTTTTTTTTTTTTTTTTT